CAAGTAAAGTACATATACACAAAAATTCTACTTAAGTACAGTAACAAAGTATTTGTTCTTAGTTACTTTACACCTCTGATGATATTGTAAGAAAAGCATGACCAGAATTGGAAGTCGGAATAAGTTAGCAGAAAACCAGTTGATTCTCTTCTAAAAAGAAAATCAAACACGTGCTCATGTTGACTCATTCAAATATGTCCTCAAGATCAGAGGTTCTCAAACTGGGGTCCCTGGACCCCCAAGGGTCCGTGAGAGGTATCTTGGGGTCATCAAATTTTTTTACTAAAATGATTATTTGGTTTTTATTTTTAAAAATGCATGGAGAACAATGAACTAATAAAACAAACATAATAAACTTAATAAAAATATATATTCCCATGCATTTAGGGTTTGAAATGACAATAAATTATCTTTTAAAACAGACTTTGGTTTATGAGGGGGTCCCTGGAATTTTATTCGCCCTTGTAAGGGGTCCCCAGACCCAAATGGCTTGAGAATCCCTGCTCAAGATGATGAATCATGACCTATAACACTGCTGCTTTCTGGAGAAACTTTCAGAAATCCTCTTTGGAAAATAAAGGAGGCATCTCAAAAGCTTGGCTATCCTTGTTTTCAGCAGTTGAAGACTTGAAGTCCTCTCAGGTTCTTCAGCAGCAATCAAAAATAAAAATCAATTGTTATTCAAGATCATCTAATCACGTCCGGGTCACCAACTTGTAAGAAACGTGATCAGAATTGGAAGTCAGAATAAGTTAGCAGAAAACCAGTTGATTCTCTTCTCAACAGGTTAAATAATAAAAGCCTCATYCAGTCAGCTCACAGCCCATCAGCCAGGCAGGGCCTGTGAGTTTGAGGCCTTGAGCCTTGTCAGAAAAGCAGCCCTAAAAAGAATAATGGAAGAAGATTTGCTCTCCTAAGTCACATGTACGTATTAGAGATGGGATAAATGGCTCTTTGAAGGGATCTGGATCTTGAGTAGCCGTTTGTTTCAAAGAGCCGTTCAAAAGAGCCGTTCGATTTTGAATGTATTACGTCATCACGTAGGGAAATACGTCATCACGTAGCCGTACGTAATGACGTAATCCCGTCACGTGGGTGGAACCATTTCTTTGTCAAGTGGAGCTGATCATGGTTCCAGTGCCTGACAGTTCAATCTGCTGCCACACCTGGGTCTTCTTCAGGAACTGCTTCAGTTCTCCACTTAACAACAGATCTCCTGTTTTTGTCTCAGGACTCWTTGTTCCACCTCATCACTGGTTGGAACATTACCCAGGTGTTCTGTTGATCCTGAGCAGAACTGCAGAACATTCTGCACGTTGTCTGAGACTGACCTGCATGTTTTCTGTCAAATAGAAAACTTCCTGTAATCAGATAAGTGCTCTGAGAACATCAGCTTGAACTCTTTAATGAAAACACCATCTGCTGTGTGTGTGTGTGTATGTGTGTGTGTGTGTACTTGTTTTAGTTAGCTATTTAGAACCG